GAATTCTTGCAGAAGTCTTTGTATGGAGTTTTGTTTTCATTTCTCTTTAGTAAATATCTAAGGGTGGATTTGCTGGATTATTGAGTAGCTGTATGTTTAACTTTTTAAGAATTTGCCAGACAGTTTTTCAAAGTGGTTATACCATGTTAACTCTGACCAGCAAGTACAAGAGATAGTGTTCTTTGTCTTGAAGTCTACTCTGTCTGATATCAATATAGCAACCCAACTTTCTTTTCTCTTTTCTTTTAAAACTTTCTATGCCCTTACATTTAAAGTTTTTCTCTTATAAATATCATTTTATTTTTGTTCATTTTTATTCAGCCTGATAACCTGACTTTTAATTGGTGTACTTAGTCTGTTTACATTGAATGTAATTTCTGATTTGGTTCATTTTTAAAGTCTACCATTTAGCTTTTTTTTTTTTTATGTGTCCCTTCAGCTTGTTCTTTCGTTTCTCATTTTCTGTATATGTTTGAATTATTTGGGTACTTTTTAGTGCTCCATTTTATCTCATCTACTGACCTCTTAGCTACATGTTTTTGTATTATTTTAATTTTTGTGATTGATCTAGGGAATATAATATGCATTTTTAACTCATCATGGTCTACTTTGAATTAACACAATAAAGCTTTGCAAGCAATGTAGGAACAATAATTTCATTTAACCCTCATTCTGTTCCTCTCTCTATTGTTGTCTGATATTTTATTTTTACCTATGTTATAGTTTCTTTGTTTCTAAATGTTGTAGGGGCCTTGGAACAAGTCCTTGGGTCTTTTCACTTTTTGGTCTATACTTGTTCTCTTCGAGGTCACGTACAGTCTTATAGCTTTAAATATACTGATAACCCCCCAAAATTTTATATGCAGCCCTGACCTTTCCCATGAACTCCAGACACATATATTGGACCTACTACTTGACATATTAATTAGATTTCTAATAAGAATCCAGATATTTCTAAGAGTACTGTTCTTAGGATATTCTCCACTTCATTTAATTGCACTTTGTTCTTGTAGTTGCTCAGAATCAAAACCTGTTGTCCACAACTCTTCTTTTTCTCTCATATCTATATCTTCTCCTTCAATAAATCTGGTCAGTTCAACTTTCCATATGTATCCCAAATCTGACCACTTTTTATCACCTCCATGACTGCACCCCTGGTCCAAGCCATCATCACCGCACTCCTGATTATTGCACTGGCCTCGTAAGTGGTCTTCCTCCTTCTGTCCTTACCCTCTTTCAACTTAGCAGTCATAGAAATCCCTTTAGATGTACATTGGGTCAAAGCCTTTCAATAGAGTCTTAACTCACTCAGAGTAAAATCCATGTCCTAACTGTGATCTGTAAGGCCATACATGATCTGATTTATGTTACCTCCTATTCCTTTCCTGTCTTACTCTTCTGCCCCTGTAGCACTTGCTTTCTCTCTCAGGGCTTATGAACTTGTTCCTCACATCAGAAATGCTCACCCCAGGTATTAGATATGTAACTCACCCCCTCACTTCTTTCAGATCTTTACTCATATGAGTAAGTGAAGATCTTCTCTGCTACCCCTTCCTCATGCCTCTAGGTACTCATAATGCATTATTCTGTTACGAAGTGCTCATCACTATCACTGTCTGGCCTGTTCTTTGTATTTTATTGCTAACTGTATCTTTCACTAAAATGAAAACTTCATGAGGGCAGAGATGTTTGTCGTTTTGTTCACTGCTGTAGCAGCCCAACAAATATTTTATATGCATAAATTAATAAAAGAATAAGTCTTTAATTAAATATGAGCAAACTGAAGCTTATGGGGTTAAGCAACTTTGCAGCGGTCAAAAAATCAGCGGTAGATTGGAGATGAGTGGGGTAACTAAATGAACGTTAGGGCTGAGGAGGGCTTTTCAGCAGTGTGAACAATGTCAAGAGAATTGGGCAATGAGTTGTAAATAAGAGATTACAAGCAATTTGGTGAAGATGAAGAGTAGAGATGGAAAGAATATTTTCTACGGAGCTGGATTAAGATACACCAGAAGTTTTTAAGGAATGGGGCAAAGTGGTCCTGGTTGCACAGAGGAAAGGAAAATAAGGAGTTATGCTTTGAATGTATTGAATAAGATGCAAATTTGAGAAATCTGTTTAGTAATTTATCTACATACATATTTTCTGTCAGGGAAGGGAATGTGTAAAGAAGGGACACACAGAGGTTTAGAAGTCTGTTATGCAAATACCTCTGTTCCTTAAATTAAAAGTACAGTAGTCCTTTGTCCAAGTCGTGATCACCTTCATTATAGGAAACTCAGAGTTTACAAAATGTCCTCATTCTTACCTTGTTTGCCAATATGCTTTCGACTTGTTTTGAATAATGGAACCTGTGCTACAGTCATCTGGCGGAAGCTCTGCTGCCTCAGACTGTGGTCCATGAGCCTCAACACCACGAGGCTTTCTCACTCTGGCCACTGTCACTGCTGTTAAGCTTGAACTTCACTCAGGCAGCAGGCTGTTTTTCACAAGAAATGCATATGGTGGGAAGTGGGGTGAGGTGCAGGGCTTCCCCTGCCTTTTGTAAAATGATACCCATCTTCATTCTTTGGGTTTTCTAGGGTGCTCTTCCATAATTGCTCCAGTTTTGTTCCAGGTTTGAGATTGGCGAGAAATTAAGGTCTTCATCATTGCTTCTTAGTTTTGCTCTACCATTATCTTGGCTGTGGAAACTAGAATTTATCACTCTTCCCAGCCTTGAGACAAAAATATAATTCTTTTTTTTTTTTTTTTTTTAGTTTTTTCATTTTAATTCTTGATGCTTAAAGGAACTAGAAATGTTCCTCTTTCTCTTTCACAAATCACCATTCACCTTCCAGCCATCCTTTATCCTGTCAACCACCCAAACTCTCCAGAATCTTTAAATTTCTTTTCCTACTTCTGAATTCCTCAACCCAGGTTTTCCTTTCTACCCAAAGCGCAATTGTTCAGATACACAGAAGACAACGAACCATAATTTGAGTATATTAAAAAATTTATTTATTTGTTACTATTATTATTTTTACATTCTAAGACATTGAGTAGCAGTTGGGGTGGAGGGAGAGAGGGGAAGGGGGAGAGGATAGGGTAGGAAGATGAAGAAGGGTGGAGGGGGGCATGGTTGAGGCCTGTGGCACCCCCTTTCATTGCAGCAGAGGAACCAAGCAAGCTTCTGATGGCAGCTGGGTCATGGCTGGGCTGGATGCGGATGTTGGGGAGTCATGGCTGAGGCCTTCAGCCCCTCCTACCCTGACTTGGGAGCCAAGGGTGCTTCTGGTGGTAGCTCAGTGGTCATCATGGGGATGGACACACCGATGTTGGGGGCACCTGGCTGAGGCCCTCAGCACCAGAACCCTGGCTCAGGAGCCCTGTGCACTTCTGGTGGGAACTCAATCATTGCTGGGCTGGATGTGGACGTTGTGGGGGATTGGCTGAGGCTGTCAGCCTTCTCCCCACTTCAGCTTGGGAGACCAGGGTGCTTCTGGTCCTTATAGGTTTTATAGGTGTTCTTTGGTGGTATTAGACCTTTACTGGTTAATATCAGAATTTTGTCTCTGAACTGTGGGGTTTTGTTTTTTCTTTCATTTATGTGTTGGATTATTTGCTATTCCCACCACTTAAACTCTGCACTGGAACTAATTTGTTGTGTTTTGGTTACTTCTAAGATTGAGGAACTTTCTGTGGGGATCAACACTTGAGCCCTGTGGTTGAGCTAAATTGCTGCTTTGCTGTTGATTCTCTGGGGAAGGCTTTTTATGCAGCTCAGGTTTTAATGTTGACCTTGTAAGCACTTCTGGGTCTTGTGAGATCTGGTACACCTGGGTTGTATGGAAACTCTGGTCTGGGCCTGAGTCTTTTCAGCAAAATGAACTCCCTGCAGTTCTATATTCCTGACCAGTCTCCACTGAGTGATCCTGTTTCGACTTGAGGGCAGATCAGCTGTCCACGCTGTGCCCCACTGATCCCCCAGTGGGCCCGTCTTCCCCACTGCCCATACTCCAAGTACTTCCCATGGGACAGGCCATGTGCGGGTCCCTTGTGATGACTCACCAGCCTCTGAGTGGTTCCTTCTTTCAGTTGTTTGTGGCTTCTTGCTCCTATGTGGGCCCATTGGACCCCTGTTAGTGGTCTTGCTGGCCTGGGGGCCACCAAGGTCTTCTTCTCCCCTGACACCTCTAAGGAACTTCATCCGAAGGGCACAGCTGTGGTTTTTGCCAGCTCTTGCTCTGTGTGCTCACCAGGGCCAGCCTTGAAACTGGCTAGGGATTGCAATGGTCAGAGAGGTCCTTTCTTTCTCTCATCGCGGCTTCTCCTGCCTTCATGAAATCCATAGGTCTCTCCTCCTCTTCCCCTGAGCTCTAGCGGCCCCAGCTTGGCAGTTGTTGCTTTTTAATCATTGTAAATTTGAGGCCAAGCCCATGGCACACTCGGGAGAGTGCGGCACTGGGAGCGTAGCAGTGCTCCCGCCGCGGGTTCGGATCCTATATAGGGATGGCCGGTGCGCTCACAGCGCTCACTGGCTGAGGACGGTGCGGCCAGTCTCAAAAAGGACAATAAAAAAAAATTGTAAATTTGTTGATTATGGGAGAGGGTGACACCAGGGATCATCTATTCTGTCATCTTGATTGGAAGTCAGTCAATTTCAGTATTTTTAACCTGGCTACCTAGCATTATCCAGAAACTCAAATATCCCCACTCCCAGCCCCAACACCCCAATTCTGCTCTTTGGATGTCATCTACAGATCCATTAATTGGGAAAACATTGATATAACACTAAGTATTTTGCTAGACATTTAAAAAACAACAAAAAACAAACCTCACCATTCTTTTTAATGACATGGTTCCCTTTCACCAATTAACATTTAATTACTGCTTTACAACTTACAAAGGATTTTTGCATACATAATTTTCTTTTATTTTTCACCAAACAACTAAGTGAAGTAGATAAGGCAATGATTATCCAATTATCCCTATTTTGCAGATAAACTGAATCTCAAGGTTATTGAAGGGACTCTGTCAAATGTCACTCAGCTAATAAGCACAGGAGCTGAAACATGAACCAGCTTTTTCATACCTGGGAAGAATGTGCATCTTTTCATGTTGCTCTGTCTCAGCCGTGAAATGTGTGGGAAGGTAATACTCAATAAAAGGTCTCAGTTAAACTAAAAGTGTTGTGTGATAGGGTTAAAACTGATTTCTTGCAGGGAAGTGAGAACAGCATCCATAGGAGTTGCATCCAGGGCTTTGGATGACAATGCAAGACATCTCGTTGCTCCTTTTATTATCAGTAGGCTGCCTTGGTTGCCTGTGTTTGTGATTTGGAAGAGATTTTTATGACAATGTTTATTCCATCCCATATGAATAAGGTTTTGTGCAAGTCATTTACTTGTGCTTTGGGATTCAGCACTGCACGCTGCAGGTTACACACCTAAGCTCCCCACGGCCATTCCAGAGAAAATTTCAACATGATGAAGATCCTTAAATCCCCAGCAGATTCACCTTCAGACATAATGTCAATGTATTGGAGCCGCATCAGGGGCTGTTTCCCGTTGCTTCCTAACAGGGGAACCATTTATTTTCTGTGCAGGAGACATGAATCCTCTGACAAATATTTTATTATGATGTTATCTCAGATGAGATAATTTGATTTGATAAATGCAAATAGAGAAGAATGAAGTTACTATGTTTTCTCCCTTTTAAAAGGACTTGAATTTTTAAAAGGAATTCAGTGTAGGTGAATAATGTCTAATTCCCAATCCCTTTAAGCAGAAACAGCAAACTTGTAACCTTCTTGTTAATGTTGAATCCCAGGAACGATTCTTTAGCTCTCATTTTAAAAAGTCTTATAAAACCTGATGTTCATCTATATAACCCCCCCCCCCCATCAAGTCAATAGATAAAATAGAATGAGTAAGACTGGAGATGTATTATTTAGAGCAAAAAATAAAGTAACCATGTGGTCAGCTGTGGGTTTCTCTGTAGCTTTATTAGCTAGTATCAATATTATGATGAAATAAACTTTGAGTATATATTCCCACATGAAAAAGTCCTAGCTTGAAAACTGGGATTGGAAATTGCTAATGAAATAGAAACCCATTGTTGTATCCCTGCACATTTCACAAAACATAAACACGTTGAACAGTCAAAGTAAGAATTCAGTGTATTTGTGGAAATAGTTCTCCATATTTTCAATGACTAAAAAGTAAATCTATATAAATAACTGTCAAATGATAACTTATCATTTTATGGACAGGAAGGGACTTTGATCATTTTATTTTGTCCCCTTATTAACCGATGTAAGAGATGAGGCCCAGAGACATTACATGATTTGTTCAAAATCATGCAGCTTCCTACAGACTGGGGTAAGACTGGAATTCAACCGTTCAGCATGCTAGCCCATGTCATTCTGAAATCACTGAGATAGAAGTCAGCCCTTTATTAATCAGTTACAGATAATTGCTGTGCCATTTCTATAGATTCTCAGAGGGAAAAATGTTAGCTGTGTCTGCTGCTTTTTTTGTTCTTCTTAGAATTTAAAGGTATCTAACATTATCCTGTTGCATCAACAAGAAACAGAATCTCCATTTCTGGATTTATTACTAGTCCTAAACTACTATATAACTTTTGTTTTTAAAGTACATGATATTTGAGAGAACAAAGAGAGTTTAACTCATGGTTCCCATTTTTCTCTTCCCATTCAATCCCTGAAAATCAATCCCTTAATGATTAGGTTTTTATTATTTTATTTCACTTTGTTTTTGAAGGTGTTCACTATTATTTTTCACTGACAAGAAACATGAACATAATTAAGTGCTACTTATTTTATTTCCTTAAAGAATTCCAATCCTAAAGGAATAGATTCCAACAGTGAAGTTGCAGTTTTCTTGCTAGAATTGGGAGTAGAGTTCAGTCAGCCATTTTTTGGAGGGTGATCTGGGGGAAGAAAAAGGATGGGTATTATGGAATCAGAGTTAAAAGCATTAGTGAAGAAAAATGGTTTTCTTGCTAGAATTGGGAGTAGAGTTCAGTCAGCCATTTTTTGGAGGGTGAACTGGGGGAAGAAAAAGGATGGGTATTATGGAATCAGAGTTAAAAGCATTAGTGAAGAAAAATGTCCCATTTCCCTCTCATACTAATGGCATAAATATGTTTGTGATTGTGGTGATGGCCATTTCTCATGAGACGAATAGCCATGATGTATCTCCAAAGCGATTCACTGCCATTTCTATTCACATACCAATTTCTTCTAAGTGTCAGTCTTAAATACTTCAGTTTCCTAAATGCTTAAATTTAGTCAGTTCTGCTTGCTTCAAAATAAGGAAAAGTAAATATTCTTCCAGTAAACTATAATCTTGTAAGTTTGAAGAAATAACAACCCTCTTTATATTTTTAAATAAAATGCTCACCCACCATCCTTCATGACACCAAGAAGATTTTTAAAAATGTGAAAAGTCATGGAATCAGCTGTTAAAAAAAGACCTGCTTCTGACTGATGTATTGAGCCAGTTTGCATTCCTACTCAAGAACAATACGGCTACAAATGTCAGTGCATAAGTTAGTCAGCCCCAAACATAGGCGGAAACACTCCTTTCCAAGCTGACAGAGTATCACCCCAAAATATCTCTGATAGCTCATAAATAAAGAAGTCTGCTTCTCTGACCCAGTACAGGCCATAAAGTATAGCAGGAAGGATGTGTACTTCGGAGTCTCACAGTCCAAATTGGAAATAAGACCCAGATCCACCATTTTTTATTTATGTGATCTACCACAAGTCAAGAAGCTTCTCTGAACTTCAGGTTTTCTCACATTAAATCTTTAAACTTATATAAAATTATGTACTCACAGTGCAGTTTTGAAGAATCAATGAGATAACGTTTGTGAATGTTGGTTGTCGTTGAACACTAGTTTCTCTCCCTTCCTGTGCCATATCGAGGATGATTTAATCAAGGATTGGTATATGGGAAGTTTAAGGATTATTAAAAAAAAAATAATACTGACTATTTTTAAGGATTATTTAAAAAAATAATCCTATTGCTGTGTAATAAAATTCTTAACATATATTTATCCCTCACAAAGAAACGTATGATACAGTTATCTCCATTTTACAGTGAAAATAAATGTACTAGCCAGAGAGGATACGGTCTCTGACTCATTGTCAATTCATACATAATTTAAAGATTTGTTCTACAAATGTTTATGGAGCCTAGTATGTGTCAGACAGCATGCTAGGTGCTGGGAAACCATGCTAGGTGAAGAAGAAACCAGAAAACGTCAGAGTCATGACAGTCCTGTGGGGAAGACAGGCCACAAACAGGTCAACAAATTGTGACAAGAGCTATGAAAGAAAAAATGAGCCGATATGGAAGTGAGTAACAGATTTGGAAACACGGGGAAAAAAAACGTAGAGGCTGGATTGGAGCTCAGGCACCCTGGCCTGTGTGCTGACTCCCACAGAGGAAACAAAATGAGGGGAAGGAGCAGAGAGCAATCCTACTGTGACCTGCAGAGGCCCTTCCTCAGGGAACATCTGCCGCTAGGGAAAGATGTTTCCAGGGGGATATCTAAGCCCTGGGATTTGGTGCAAAGTTTGAAGGAAAGAGTCAGCTAAGGTTTAATAAAATAGAGTAAGCACCTTGTTAGGTCAAAAATTGGAATGGCCTAGGCCTGCCACAAAGGCACCTGAGGGAAGAGCAAAAGAGAAGGTGGTTCCATATCTGAATGGTTCCGTTTTGTCTTTAGCTGGCCCAGATTTATTGGAGAATGCCTTAAATCTATAGGCCCCAGCCTTTCAGGCATTGACAAAAATGTCTTCTCTACATTGTGTGAAAGATATGGGCACCATAAGGACACACGGTCATAGGGACCTGATTCACTGCTCCTTTGGTGCTACTAAATCTCAGACACGCAGCCTGCAATCAATGGTGCTCATTTTTGAGAGGGCATGGATTATGACTATTTCCATGCAAAGCACTTTTCTCGAAATATAGAGGAGTTCTTCAGTTGGCTCTACACATTCTAATATTGGTAGCTGCCTTTTGTGTTCAGGTCTTTTCATTTATCTTTTGTCTGGGTTGTTGATAGACTTTTTTTTCTTTCTTTTTTTTTTTTTTTGCAGACATGCTGATCAGCCAGCAGATGCTGCCCTCCTGCATAAAACTGAGCAGAAATGTTTGTCCTGCAGCTTGAGTTAGCATCAATTTCCAGCCAAGCCAGCTGTGGAAATGGCAATGTACTCATTTAAAACCCTTGAGGTTTTAAAGAGCAAAGTGCTACAAGAGAGTCTTCTAAATTCTCAGATATATTTTGACTTAAATGACATTCTTTTGGGGAAATATTTAGAGTGAATCTCCTTCGTTTATTAGAGGGTAGCTGGAGGAGCTCAGGATCTTCAGGCAGGAGGGTAACAGATGAAATATAAATGAAAGAATGCATGATCAGTCAGAAGAAAAACTCCACATGCACATAGAGTCCAGTGGTTCACAGCTCAGTTTCAGGAGACAGAGAAACCTGAGAAAGGAGCCTGGCTCCCCAGAGTGGAGCTGAGTGTGACCTTGGGCAAGTTACATCACAGCATTATGAGATAAAAGGAAGATAATGCATGTAAAATTGTTAGCATAGTCACAGGTCAATAGTAATTGCTCAATAATTTTAGATTGCTATCATTGTCCTTAATATTAATTATAATGATTACTGTTATTAAAGTAGCAAGTGACAAGAAAAATGATGGCTCAAGATCATCCTGTGGTCTTTGCACTATTCATATTGAAAAATTGTTAGTACATGTTTAATTTTCTAATGAAGCACCAGAAATAATTTGTAAAAAGGTCTGTTTACTGTGCTATTAATTCTCATCTAACTTCTTAATCTCCCACCAAACTTGGTTTGTTTTCAGCACTATTTAGTGATTTTAGATGTGTAAATAAAATACAGAGATACCAAGTCCTGAATTCTAGCAATAAGCTTCTTGCCAATGCTGAAGAAATTGAGAGAATGGCTTGTAGTCTCATCTCACTTTGCCACTTTTCAGCAGAGTGAGAAACTGGTGACCTTGTTCCTCAGTTTCTGAATATATATTTTGGAAATAATGATCTCTGCCTACCTCAAAGATTTGGTGCAAAGATTGAAAATGAGAATCAGTCCGAAATTTTGCTAGAAAAATATACAATTTCATTAATTCAATAACCTAAGACTGGGCTTAATTTCTTTATCAAAAAAATTAATGATTTACCTTTCTCTCAAGAATAAAAAGAAATACAATGTCAACAAAGATGGTGAACACATTAGTAAATAACTGCTATATAAAAGACAACTGAAATGTTGTTTTGTAAATGTATGCTTTTGCTTGTTGATAAGTTCCTTAAAATTTGGAGTTTTAAATTTCTCCCAATGCTGTTCTGGTATCGATAAAGTTTAATGCTATCGTATGGGCTAAGAGCAGGGTGCGAGACTCGTGTGTATGTGACCTTGGGCAAGTTACATCACAGCATTATGAGATAAAAGGAAGATAATGCTTGTAAAATTGTTAGCATAGTCACAGGTCAATAGTAATTGCTCAATAATTTTAGATTGCTAT